GGCAGAGTCTAGAATAATGGTGTTACAAAAGTGTGAGCAGATTGAAAGAAAACATGAAAGGCTGCATAATAAAATAGAGGGACTCATGAGAATAAAAGTTTAAGGCTAATGTGAGACTAAATAGTCCCAAAGTGGGGACTGTGGAATCAAAAAAAAAAAATAAATGCATTAAACTTTGATCATACGAGTTTATAAGATGACATAAACTGCTTTGTGGGGAATTGCTGGCCCTGCATAGTAGAGCAGATAAGGGAAAGTATTTGTTCTTTGTAACTCCTCTGGAACTGCTTCGCTCACTGCAGCCTTGAAGATAGCAGAAAAAAAAGTATGAACAACTCTGATTTCCAGGTGCAAAAAAGGGAGTTATTTCTCGCTTTGTGAACTAAGCTCATCTCCCCCATGGTTCTCATCCTGATAACAGCAAAGCAGTATGAGCTAATGTTTGTTTGTAGCTGCTTTTTTCTAGCAAACTCCACTATATGATCACATGAGTTGCAGCGACTGTTAAAAAGTATATAAGCCTCCTGATTTTGCTCCTGGGGGGAAACCCCTTCCAAGTGCTTGGGAAATCCATGTCACTTTGGGGTCCCCCCTACAGCTGTAGTTTCATTTGAATAAAAGTTTCTGCTGACCTGACCCAAAAGTACTCTGCGTGTGTTTCCAGGACAGTTATTTTTTCTGCTATCTTCAAGGCCGCAGTGAGCGAAGCAGTTGCAGGGGAGTTACAAAGAACAAACACTTTCCCTTATCTGCTCTACTATGCAGGGCCAGCAATTCCCCACAAAGCGGTTATGTCATCTTATAAACTCGTATGATCAAAGTTTAAGGCATTTATTTTTTTTCTGTCTATTTTGCAAAGTTATTTGTCTCATTTTTTTCCATTTCTTTACTTATTTCATGGCACCCAATGGCAGTGGCATTGGCTATTTTTTCTAAGGATACTGCAACCTTCTGTATTTCAGACATAGCTAAGCCTGCCCTATAAAATTGGGGAATATTATACCCCCGAATCTTTGGTTTTCAGTAATTTTGCAAACATTGCAAATTTTTCCTTTTGGCAAATGTGATCTAATTGTGAAAGCGGGGTATGCGGCAGAAACATAGCACGTTCCTTCTCACCCGGAAGGAAGATTTTTATAAGCCTTGTTTCCGCATACAAAATAATGACCAGCCAGTGCAGTGAAGGTGGTGCTACATTGAGGTTTCATCATGCATTGTGAATAGTACCCGGAAAATTTACTCTGGGGGGAGTAATTAGATATCTAGGAACCATTAGAAAGCCAAGCACCATTTTTAATTTCTACTTTTTAAATTTTAAATTTTTAAATTCTACTTTGCATTTGCTAATTCCTACTGCCACACGTGATCCATTACTACAGGTTCAACAAAACTTTCCAGGAGTAGCATAGGCTAGTTGCATATAGTCAGACTGATTGCAGCTTATGTCTTGCCAAGTCTCATTTCCATGGACATCTGAATAATAAGAGGCCAGCATCTGAGTTGTATTCAAGGGTACAGGTATCATGGGTATTCCTCCGGTGGCATGGATAGGAACATGACTGCATATCGAACAACTGGAGACATTTAAATCTATTCTTATTTGATTAACTAAAAGACAAAGATACATTTCCACGGGCTAAGCTCAAAAGTTCGGCATTAACAATCAAGATAGAAAAAAGCTTCACGTTTGAATATTATTCAGTGGGGTCGGAGATGATATCTTCGTTCCACAACTGGTGAATCTGGCCGGGCTGAGGTGTTGGGTTTAGGGGAGAGGTTACCAGCACTTGCACCCTGGTGCTCCTCACTTGCCTGAGTGAGGTCCTGAGGGTCTTTGTCCTCGGCCTCAGGGAAAGGTCCCAACGTTGGTTGGAGTTCAGCTGCTTCGGGGTCCGATGGAGGTGACACCTTCTTGCAGTGTGAGGCGTGAGTCCACGTTTGGTGACCTTGGCAATGAACAGCAGAATTAGTGGTCAGAAGTACCTGGAAAGGTCCCTTCCATCTGGGTTGAAGTGCGTTTTTCCGTTGATGGACCTTTATGTAGACCCAATCTCCTGGTTCGAGGTTGTGAACATCCAGTGGTTGAGGTAAGGCTTCTTGGACCATCAGAGGCGACTGGCAGTGACGCGGGATTCAGAACTGAACAGTGATTTCAGGTTACATTTGCAGCTGACAGTAGAAGTTTCTCATATTTAGTAAGACGGGAATTGGAAATGTGCTGAGTTTTGCCCTTGAGAAGAAGGGCCATCACAGCATGTGGAAGTGCAACGGTTAAAGAGTGTCCCAAAACTTTTCAACCAACAAGGGAGCAGCTGCAACTGAACGGAGGCAAAGAGGGAGTCCCGCAGCCACGGGATCAAGGGCAGAGCTGTCATACGCAATTGGGCGATGCTTTTCTGCTGGCTCCGGCGGTGGGGGCGCCCCGGGCAATGCTGGATACATCGAAGCGTTGGCTGGCGTGTAATCTGGGGGGACCAGTCAATTTCTCCCGAACAGCTTTTAATTTCCTGATAGCAAGAAAAACTCTGCAAAAAGAAATGGCACAAACAACGCAAACGTGCTGCATACCTGGACAAACGCGGCTGGCTCTGCGGCTGGCTGGGGTGCAGGGTGCCTCGAGATGGGGGCTCCAGGTGCCTCCGATGCACGCAGAGACAGAGGTGCCTGCTCTCTTGTCTTAAGGCACACTGGACCCTAGCCAGCCCCTACTGCAGCATGCGGAGCAGCGGGACGATGTGTCCTGGTGCAAACCACACGAACAGGGGCGTGCGCAAAGTAGCGGCACAAATTTGTGCCGCTACTATTTGTGCTGCTGCAAACACGCACTCCTGCTCGTATGGATGCAGATCAGGAGTCCCACCTCCCTTAACCAAGGAAAGGAGCCTGTCAGAAGAGAACTGGGTTGCATGCATGCAAGGACATGGCATACCCAGCCAACACCTAGAAATATAGTTCTCACTTCAGTGAGATCCCACTGAAGACACTTGGGGGGCTTTAAAATTGCCCCTTGGTGGAATTCTGACTTGTGTTTTTTGTTGCTGTTCTGTTTGGTTTTCCCCTCTAAAAATGGTAGGAAATTTTATCCCAACCCAGCCAGCTGCTTAAACTGCATTAAATTGTGAAGCCAAAAACACAAGAAATGCCATAACTAAGGTTAAATGGCAACCTTCACACTTGCCACATAGGGTAGGGGAAAACCATCAGTCATTAATGTTATAATTACTACCAGTATACAATTAATGGCTAGGGCAGATTAAGGAGGAAAAAAAGCAATTCCCATTTCCGTGAAAAACATCAATGTTTTTTATCACAAGTGTTTGAGATGGGCCCTTTTAAAAATTTCTCCTAATTTGTTTCTGATTTCATTCATTACAATCAAAAGCATCCTCGAAATGCATTCCAGGACACGGTGGAAAAAAAAATGAACCTTTTTTTTTTCCTTCAAAAGTAAACTTAATGAACACTGAAAGGCACAAGGTTTTTCCCCAAAGAAGGAAAAAAATTAAATTGTGTCACCAAGTTTTCACCTATACTCATACATGCGTACGTAGTACACTGCGTACACAGTTTGCAAAACCAAAAGCCACTTTTTCTTCCAATAGAAAAGTTTTCCGCTTGAGACATTTTGGCCATTGCTCTCCTTCCTAATTGTGGCTAGTCCTGTGGGAGGAGGCCTCTTATCGGTAGGCACTGCACAGTTAGAGGAGTAATAGGACTTCCCCGAAAGACCCTTCCCCCTGGAAACACCCTCTGGCAGGGTGGGAGGCGGGATGGCAGCCAGAGTAGGCAGCCCTGCACCTGCTTTGCTTTAACTAGTAGGAAAGATGCAGCAACCTAGGCTTGAGCATGAGGGGGCAAGAAAGTAAGGGAGTCTCAGGGGCCAAGACCAACGAGAACCACTGTAAGCCCCTGTCCAGCCTGCTGCCTGACCCAGGCAAGGGATCCCTGCACCCGGCTCAGCACCACCCAGCTCTGCAGGAGTGGGGCTCGTGGAAGGAGACACCCCACCTCCATTAGCAGATGCCAGGTGCTAGAGTAAGCTACCCCACTTTCTGGGGGTGACCCCCTTCCTTGGGACAACACAGCAGCCTCGTTCCTCATCGTGCGACTCCCCTTGGTTTGCTTTCCAACCCACGGGCCTCATTCTGCTTTCCCCTGGGCTTGTGCAGAGAAAGGCTGCGTGGATGCCTAGCGGAGTTGAGAGCTGACCTCACGAGGGCACTGGAGGCATTTCCACGCCGCCCCCCAAATGCCCCCACTCCCGATGACATGCACACACGGGCCTGAGAACACAACGGTCACTCTCGAGGCCTCGGTCTCTGGTGTCCTTGCAAGGGGTTGCAGGGGGCACCACGTAGCCCTCGTCTGAACGACCCCGGCCAAGCAAAGCCTGCGGTGGGGGGGCACACAGGCCGGCCAGGAGCAAGCACTGGCTGCAAATTAGCAGGAAATTTCTCACCATGGCAGCCAGAAGGGCCTCCCAGCAGGACTCCTGAGGGCACCAAAGCCAAATGGCTGCGACACAGTGTGTGGCTGGACCATGAACAGGATTGCATATAATTGTCACCCAGGTACACCCAAAGGTGTACCTGGGTGACAACTGAATGGGATGGGTAGGCTGTGAGAAGGATGCCAGAATTTCCCTTTCCTCTACAGAGCTAGCCCAAGCCCAAAGTTCTTAACTAGATACAATTTATTGAGTTATAATAGACATAAACATAAAACTAAATATCATCATATCATATTATATATATATTATACACACACACAGACACACACAAGAGAACACTACCCTAAATCACAATACCACATTTCAGTTACACAATATAAGGAAACATGAGGTCTGGGACAAACATGAACGACCTTAATAACATCCATTCCTTAATATAGTGCCTGACCCATGGCAAGAGATAGTCCTCCTTCCAATGGGGTCCCTTGGGGGGTGCCCAGGAAGCACCAGGGGCTCCTCCACTAAGGGCCTTGACTAGGCGGGGGGGCTGCTCACCCAGCCCCTTCTCTGGGTTTGCCCGCCCCAAACGTCTTTCCCCGGTGGGACCCAAGGGCCCAATGACTCACGCTCCCTCAGGTAGTGGTGGTCAGGGCGCAGGTCGGTGGGGTCTCCTCTGCTGGAGCACCCTCCAGGCCTCTCCTGTACCGCTGGGCTCCTCTCCACCCGGTGCCCTGCTCTGGGCACCAAGGGCTCAGCTCCTCTCAGCTGCTGCACCCCTGCCGCTAGCTCCTGGGTGCCGGGCCTCATGCTGCAGCACTGCCATTTCCCCGTGCCCTGGCTCAGCACCGAAGGCTCTCTTAGCACAGGTCGGGCTCTTCAGGCTCCGGCCAGCCAGCCGCATGCCAGGTGGCTATCCCAAGCCGGCTCCACGGCTCCCTGGCTCCCACGGCTA